CACCTACCGCTAGTAACCCCAGTGGTGTCTGGAAACAAAACAATCCTAGAGACTTAATACACAAATGGATTATTTTCTCTCAATTTGTCTACTCTGACTTGCATGACATTGCAGGGCATTTAAAGACCATGTGGTAGAAGTTGGATCCCAGGTGCTGTGTTAAGAGCTCACTGCTAACCAAATGGTCAGGAGTTCAAATCCACCAGTGGCTCCTTGGAAACTCTATGGGGCAGTTCTCTGTCCTATAGGTTCACTATGAGTTGGAATTGATGGCAACGGGTTTTTGCGTTTGAAATCAGGAATGCAGATACTTCCATTTTAATAGTTTCTCCATCTCAAAAGTGGGAGATCACACCCTGGCTTTAAATGGTTTGGCCTAGAAGTGAGAAATTACTTCCTCTTATAGCCCATTCAACAAAACTAGTCAGGTGGACTTGCCATCATTCAAGCTGGCTTCCTAACAAGGGGAACACATGGCTATGTACAATGAAGCTGTTAAAAGAATGAGGAAATTATATTCTAATGTGGACTGCTCTCTCTATGTAAAAAAATAAGGTAAAGAATATTACATGTAGCGTTCTTGTTCTTAGTTACCACTGAGTTGATTACAACTCACAGCGACCCCATGTGTGCCTAGCAGAACTGCTTCATTGGGTTTTCAAAGCTGTGACCTTTTGCAAGCAGATAGCCAGGCTTGTCTTCTGAGGCACCTCTGGATGGGTTCGAACTGCCAACCTTTCAGCTAGTAGTCGAGTGCTAACCGATTGTACCACTCAGGTGCTCCATATTTGGTGTAATAAATCAGAATAAATCTGAAACTAAAACCAATGTTTATCTCTTGAGGAAAACACAAAGGGAGAAAAGGTAGATTTGAAAGCTGTATATTTTTAATGTAATTTTGATTTTTAAGACTCAAATATTTTACATTTGGAAAATGAATAAAAAGGAAAATAAATTTTCAAAATTATAGCAAGAGAATTGTTTCAACTTATTTGGAACTAAAATAACATTTAACAATTTTAAGTATGTATTCAATCGAACATATTCCAAGTCTATGGAGAAACCCTTTGAAGTCTCTATTGCTTCACGGGTAATGTTTAATGTGTTGTTCCCAAGTATGAAAGTCCTTGAGTTACGATAGTAACTGTTACAGTTGCAGTCTAATATAAAAATACATTTGGATATGATCGGAGACTATTGCACAACAAAAATCCTTTTGCATATCTGCCTGTTTAGGGTGAGATGGCATTAAATGAAAAAAATCCCAAAATGGATTTCTTTTTTTTCCCCCCTGCTAATTGAATCTGAGTATCTACATTAAGACATGAAGAATTATTATAATTTGTTTAGATATAGTTAGCAAGAGCTGCAAAGTAATATATCTGTAAATTAGAAAATACTGAGGATTGCTTCATTACCAATTTTTGTCTCTTACTTTGAACATCCAGGAGACAGCCATGGTATATGAGGTTTATTACACACTCAAAGAGTAAAGTCTATTGGTATAATCTGTAAATATGGTATGAGGATTAGTTTAGTTTAGTTTCCATGGTGTTTTCTTGATGTCTTTTTCCTTTACCTTCCTCTGCTCTAGAGGTATTTATATGTAATTTTGAATTGTCATCTTTCATTAAATTTAGGGTAGCCTTTGTATAGAACTAGCCCATAATATATAGAAAAGTCCTTGGGTTGTTTTTTTTTTTTTTTGCTTCTGTGTAATGAAAACAAGGCCTAATATGGAAAAAGGATTTTCCCTCATCCTTCTTTCTTCTTTGTCATAAAGCAGTCATCTTGCCACAGTGAAGATAAGTGGTGCATGGTAATGGAGATAGAGTAGGCAGAGAAAGAGTCTGCTTCTTTGATGACGTCCCAGGGTACTTATCACACTTTTTTTTACTGCAACTTCTGGACTTCCTGTTATGTGAGGATGATACTTATTTCAGTCACCATTTTCCAGTGGTCTCACTCACAAAAACTTTCCAAACTGATAAATAAGGTTGCTATTATTTGTTTGGAGTAGAGTGCAGCATTTGAGAGATAATAATTAAAATTTTGTGGCTGAGAAAAAATTCATGAAAACCTTAATCCAATCCTATTTTCAAAACATTTCATATGCTTGTTTGCTCCATAGTCTGTTAATTTTTAGTTTAAATAAATTCCTTATAAATGGCTTTTCATGTTTGTAATATTGATATGCACTTTTTTGTATAGGAACACTCTGATTAGAGAGAAATCATTCCAGGATATGATATGTGATTGTTACTTTCTACCAGTGAGATTTTTGTTATGGGCTGTGGTCTCTCCCTTTTAATTTTTTTCATCATATCCCCCTTGACTCTCAAACTCATACATTTTTTTTTCATACTTCTCTGAAGTCAAAAACTTTGATACCATGCTTTCATGTCTTACCACCATCACCATTTGGAACAATTGTCCTTTATTAATGTTCTCTTTTGGTAATAATTCCTTGATCATGTATCTAACAGGGATATTTGAAAGTTATAAAGAAACATAGAGTCCCTATTAACTAATGTTGGATGATGAATATTTTGTATCAATATTACATCACAAATAATATTTACAATGAACAGAGTTATGACCTTTCTCAATCATGGCTCTATCAAAAACCAAAGGATTAATTTGAATTTTATACTTCTTTAATTACAAAAGCAACCACTGTTCATTATTGAAAATTCAAAAAATAAGTGTGGAGGACTGTGGTAACCATTCAATGCTGTTGAACTGAGTAGCACTGATTTCTGTCTGCCTCCAGGGATCATGGAAAATAAACAGCCTCTTCCAAATATGTCAATGGTCTCCATGGAGGTGTTAATTAGAAACTTGTAATTGTTTTTGGTAATTAGCCAATAGGACAAAAGTTTTTCAGAAATCTTCTGAGATCCCCAAGTCTACCATCTCACTTCTGCTACAACTGAAAAGATAATTGCACTTCTATGGGGTGATGAGATCACAGAATTACAAACCCACATCTCAGGGTCTGGCTATATCCCTCCCACCCATGTACTGACTATCATGACCATGACACTGAGCCCACCATCTTGGCACCAGGAAGGAGTTGGGTGAGTATCTTCTGATTCCGTCTGAGAGGCAGTGTTTAAGGAAATGAGGTTTATCAGGACTCAAG